TGAGCCCAGGAGTTCAAAACCAGCCTGAGCAACATGGCGAAACCCTGTATCTAAAAAAAAAAAAAGAAAGAAAGAAAGAAAAAAATCCAGATGTGAGATGTGGTGGCACATGCCTGTAGTCCCAGCTACTCAGGACACTGAGGTGGAAGGACCACCTGAGACTGAGGAAGTCAAGGCTGCAGGAGCTGGGATCCTGGCACTGCACTCCAGCCCAGGTGACAAAGCAAGACCCTGTTTCAAAATAATAATAATAATAATAATAATAATAATAAATCATGTCTCTACTGTGATTTGGGAATAAGAAAAGGAACAGATTGTTGATAGATGAAAGGAAGGTAAGACGCTTATTATAAGTTATTTTAATAAATTGCGTGTTGTAAAGAATCATGCTTGGTTGAAGTATCTCAAAACAATGCTGGAAAAAGTGGAAATGCAGAATGTAAAAAAAAGTGCGCTATTTATTTGGGGCTTAACTCAACTTTTCAAGGAAAGAATAACAATATATGGGGAAAGAATAAACCACTATTTAAAACGAAAGAGATTATGAAAGTCTTTTCTTATCAGTGTAGTCCATCCATCTCCGCAACAGAATCACAAATTCCCAGGCTAGAGTCCAGGACTGTCAGAATTGAAGTCTCTAGGAGTAGAACTAAGGTATCTTAACTTCTGTTTTGAGCACAGGTAATTCATAGTCACATGAAAGATTAGAACTACTGGTGTAAAGGATACTCCCAGCAGTAAGCTATAAGAAAACTAGAAATGTGTTAATTACTTGTGAAATTTCATATACATTTATATATATATACACACACATATTTATATGTGCGTATACACACACACTCATCCTTGTGGATTAAAAATTACATTGATTGTCACTTATTATTTCTACTAAATTTGGAAATAATCAGTTTCAGCATTTATCCAAGTTACTTTGAGCCACAACTTTTCTAAAATATTTGGTGAAAATTATTGACTCACTGTCAGTACACAATGTCAGTGGCTTCTCATATTTGTGACTATCATATATAGTGCCCCCTCCTCTTCCCTCTGGCAGGTGAAAAGGTCTTGAGCATCTTATTTCCTAAAATATTCTGTTGGATAATTTTCTTTTTAAAAGCACTCAACTGCCTATTTTTTATAAAGCTGCAAAGTGGATTAAATGACAAAGTGGAAGGACCTGAAATACAAAATGTGAACTCATAGGACAGGAATATTTCATGTCAAGGACAGACTAGAAGATACCGAATTCAGTAACAACAGACCATTCAACAGTTTCTAAAAAGATTTTTTTTATCCCTAGTAAAATGTAAATTACAGCAATCTCTTTTCAAAATTCTGCAACATAACAAAATAAAAGTAGTGATTCCCTGACATACAATACTGCCAAATTAGATTTTATTCTCTTTGGAAGGATTTTTTTCTCCTTGTGGTAGAAAAAAGGGTAAGGGAAGGTCTTTTAAATATATTAACAGGAATTAAAACCAAAAGCTTCACTGAAAATTGGAGACAGGAAGCATTTATTTTTAAAAATAGATTTTTAAAATAAAAATAGAAATATCCAAATTCAATCTAAACATATATAAAAATCAATCTAATATATCAAAATAACATATTGTGATTTGTCTTTGAGCGAACATCATAAAGTGTACTTACACAAAGTGTAACCTACTAGATGGCATAGCCTACTACACACTAAACTGTGTGGTATAGACTATTGCTCCTAGACTATAAACCTGTACATCACGCTGTCCTGAATACTGTAGCCAGTGGAACAGAATGGTAAGTATCTGTGTATCTAAACATAACTAAACAGAGAAAAAGTACAGTAAATTATGGTATAAAAGATTTTGAAAAATGGTACATTTGTATCAGGCACTTACCATGAATGGAGCCTGCAGGACTGGAAGTTGCCCTTGGTGAGTAGTGAGTGGTGAATGAATGTGAAGGCCCAGAACATTCTGTACACTACTATAGACTTTATAAACACTGCTTACTTAGACTGCAGTAGACTTACTTTTTAAAGGTTTTTTTTCTTTCTTTAATAACAAATTGACTTCAGCTTACTGAATTGTTTTTACTTTTGTAAACTTCCTCATTTTAAAAAACTGTTTTACTCTTTTGCAATACTTAGTTTAAAATACAAACACAATATACAGCTGTCAAAAAATATGTATTTTCTTATTCTATAAGTTTTATTCTATTTTAAACTTTTTTGTTAAGGCTTCTTCCTTAGGTTATAGCATTGTTATAAGTTCATATTCTTTATCTTTGGCAGAACTGTTTTTGTAGAGCTTGTTTATTGTTGACTTACGGGAGCCGGTGATGTGGCTAGTCACAGAATCCCCTCTCCAGCTCTTCACCTTCTGAGAATACCCTTCCAGTAACCACAGTTACCCTGAATTTGTTTTTCTAAATTTTCAAGAGAAAAAGAATGCGCACAGTAGGATGACTGCATCTGGCCTCAGGATAACAGCTGGGAAGACAAAAATCCACTTCATGTAACTCCACTCTTCTGAGCATATACTTGCCACCGGAATCTGCCTACTTTTCTTTATTCTCTACTGTCTTAAGGTAGCTGCTTTTTTATTACACCCAAATTTTATATTCTTTTTGGTGGGTAATCTGTTGGTACAATCAGTACCAAAAGTTGAAGTCTAAATGATATATTTAAGTATTTGCTATGTTCCATTATTTCATCTATTTTCTTCAGGAATTCCAGTTATTGGCATGTTAAATTTCCTTTTTTATGTGTATTATTGCCTTTCCAACATTTTACAATACATTCTTGTTTCAAAGTATTATTACTATATTATCTTTGATCATTACTGAGCCTTACATAATCTCTCTTCTTGCTTGTATCCCTGTCAGTTCCGTCTTAAGTTTTCTAAGCATGTCTTTTTTTTTTTCTTATCCCTCTTTCTTATGTTTCATTTTCTCCCCATGACTCACTATCTGGTTACAGAATTCTTGTTTTGCTGATACAGTTTTTGTTTAAAGAAGCCATTGATTGTTTATGACATTTAAACCAAAATATTTTGGCACAATTTTCATCTGCTATGTAGTAACATTTTCCTGGTGATATTTATTTATTAGTAAGTTTGGCTACTTCTTTTTACATGTTTTGTTGCAGTATCTCTGTGCTATGCTGTGCTGATTTGTGCCTCAGTATTGAATTTGGATTGTCTCTGATGTGTTATTTTTAGGAGGTTCCTGTGATATGGGAGTTGGGACTGAGTCAGGAAGAAACACATAGCATCCAGCGTTGTCATGACACGTGTTTATAGTTTAAAGGATCCTTCTCTGCTGTTCCAAAGTCAAACCACTTTCTACAAATATGGTTTATAATGTGGTTCTTTTTAAAGCCATCTCTTCTTGTTTACTCTGAACCAAATTAGTTCTAAAGGGTCTACTTCTGTCTACTCTAATTTTCTTTTCCATTGTTGAAAATACAGGATCATGCTTTTATATTTTAAAAAATACCCTAACTCTGAAAGACTTTCTTGCCAAAATTTCCTAAAATTTGGTTCCACTGGATCCTCCTCTTTTCCTCTTACCTGTTCCTGCATGGCTTTTGCCCAATATCAGTTGTTCTTAACAGTCTTAATGGGAGGTGGGGGTTGTGGGTTTTATCTTTCTTGTAACTTCACTAAAACTGGATTTTGTGAGTATATATGAACATATTTGTGAAGCTGCAATTTCTAAGAGAAGAAATGATGCTAATTTTCACAGCCTTGGTCATAATGAAGATGGCCTGGTCAGGTTTTGTTTGTTTGTTTTAGCTTTTTATTGTTTCCACTGAGTAAAGTACCTTTTTTTATTTGCAATGCAACAGATGTCCAGTTATTTGATCGGCTGAATATTACATTTATTTAGATGCTATTAGATTCTACTTGTGTAATCCAAAAATAAATACAAGGTTTTTTGTTCATATGTCAATATGTAAGCATGAAAGGAAACATTAATTATAAGCCCAAGAAATAGAAAAAAGAAAGGTTAGTGACAACTCTAAGATATGCTTCTGAAAAATCAAGTGTTCCCAGATATATAATCAATATTTCCTGGTTGAAAAAAAAAGTAAAAACCAGATATACAAAGTAAGAGGCATATTTAAAATTTTAATGTATTTAAGAGTCTATCTACATATTAAATCTACACATGTAACATTTCTATTTCAAAAATGTGAAATAATGTTTGATTCTTAGTAGTTTTATCACAAACATAATTCACATGATGACAAAAATATTGAAAAACAGAAAACTATAAATTAGAAATTTGAAGACTTAAAATATTTATACTTTTTTCCACTAGAAATACCTACTATTAACATTTGATTATATTTCTTCCCAGTCTGTTTTCAATGTGGTGTATGTGCGTGTGTGTGCTAATGAGTGGATGGATAGACAGTAGAAATATTGAGAGATTTTGTTTATTTTTGAAGCACACTTTTTCATCTAGTCCTATATATTGAGTATATTCAAATATATTTATTTTTTATAATATGACATTATTCCCTTAATAATACTTCAACATATAAATGATTATAATTTATTTGGAATTAAAGGTGGTTTCTAAATGTTTGCTACCATGGATAATACACTTATATTTTATTGATTTATTGATTTAATTTATTTATTTATATTGAGAAAGGAGTCTCGCTCTGTCACTCAGGCTGGAGTATAGTGGCACGATCTCGGCTCACTGCAATCTCCGCCTCCCATGTTCAAGCCATTCTCCTGCCTCAGCCTCCCGAGTAGCTGGGATTACAGACACCCGCCACCACACCTGGCTAATTTTTGTGTTTTTAGTAGAGACGGGGTTTCGCCATGTTGACCAGGCTGGTCTTAAACACCTGACCTCAAGTAATCTGCCCGCCTTGGCCTCCTAAAGTGCTGGGCTTACAGGCACGAGCCACTGCGTCTGGTCAATACCCTTCTATTTAAACCTTAGTTCATAGCTCTGCTTAGGTCATAATGGTGGATTGTGAAAGAGATAGAATTAGCACAGACTATGAACATCTTTAAGGCTCTAGACACATACTATGAAATTAGTTGCTAGAAAATCTGAGATAAATTATGTTGCCAGTACTAAATATAGTTGTGCCTGTCTTCTGGCAATGATTTTTTGTTTGTGTAATCTCTGCCAAATCATCAGGAGAGAAATTTTTCCAGTAGTTTGTTATTGTTCTCTCACCAAATTACCACCAATTTGAGACATAAAACAATACTCTTATTATCTTAGCGTTCTATGGATCAGAAGTTCAGGCACAGTATGGTTCAGCTGTGTCTCTGGTCCTGGTTTCGCAAGGCTGAAATCAAAGTGTGAGTACGGCTGTGTTACTTTTAGAGGATCTAGGAATGAATCCACTTCCAAGCTCGTTCAGGCTGTTGGAAAAATGTACTTCCATGCAGTTGTAGGACTGAAGTCCAAGATAACTTGCTGTATGTCGGCTGTGAAGCCATTCAAATGTTTTGGCTGGAGCGCCTTTCTCCATCTTCAAAGCTAGCAAAGGCAGGTTGAGTCCTTCTCATGCTTCTAATCTCCCCAAACTCTCCTTCTGTTTCATCTCTCCTCCCTCCTTCCGTGCCATTTCTGACTGACACTTCTGCCTTCTGCTGCTGCTTTTAAAAGCTCATAAGATAAAACTGAACCCAGGATAACAGTTTTTAGTTTTAGTTTAGTTTTCATTTATGTATGGTAGAAAAACATTTTTTGTAGTTTAATTGGTCATATATATCAGAAAAATGTTTTTTTGTAGTTTAATTGGTCATACATATGATTTCTATTTTTTTGTGAGTAGAAGGTTGTGTCATTTGCTAATTTTCATTGGAGATAATAGCATTTTATTTTTATATATTTATATAAAATACATTACTTTTATATAAAATTTATATATACTGTGTATAATTTTTATGTTTTAAGTATATTGAATCATCTTGCTTTTATAATATGAAGTTTTGTGGTTAATATTTTAATGCTTCTTGGCTTTATTTCATGTTTATTGTAAGGTTTAAATATGCATTTTTAAATAGCTAATTTTCCAATAATATTTTGCAGACTGAAATATATATTGAAATATATTTTGATTTGCATCCTTTGTTCAATATCAGTATCTTGTAATATTTTTCAACTCTTTACAAGAGCTATTCTTTCCCGTTGATCTGTTTATTTCCTTCCACAATAATATTGTTATATGCAAAGTACTGTCACATCTGGAATATAAAGTCAAGGAGCTTGTTCATCACTTTTGTTTTAAAATTCACTTTGACATTACTCTTGAATTTTAATTCTAGAATGTCCTCTTCTTAAGAAATCCATTGAAACTTTAGTAGAGGCTGCATTCATCATATAAGTGAATTTAGGATAAACTTTCTTCCTTAAAGTGTTTCTCCCTTTTAAATGATCATATTAAGACTACATAAATAAGTGACATTCACTGTCCTTCTCTATGTGTGTGTGTGTGTGTGTGTGTGTGTGTGTGTGTGTATGTGTCCACCAACATACGGCCTGGTTATTTTGAAGAATTTTTCTCATAGTCTTATCAGTGAAATTTCTTGGTTTAATATAGCCAATGCATATATTTATGTGTTGGCTTACCATTTTTATAGATTTTTAAATTTCAGAATAATTCTACTGATTGTTTGATAAGCTATGTACACATGGATATTCTCCATAAAGGATATTATTTTGATTATTTTGACTCTTCTTTTTTAATGATTTGATATAATTATATGAATTCTTGATTTTCTGATGATAATGCCGTTCTTTTGTGCTTATTGCAGAAATATTATCTTTCAGTGTGGTAAAAAAATGAAATTTTTGCAGCTTTATTGATTATAAAATCATCTAGCATTATAAAGTTTTGTTAAATTACTGCACAGTTATGTTTCTATCATTGTCTTCTTGCGTTTTTAAATAATATTTGTTATACTTTTCATTATTCTCATAAACTATGATGCTTTATAAATATAGTTTTGTATTTTGTACTTCTTATGGATACAAAATTACTTCTTATTTAGTGCTTTTTGATATGTTTAATATTTTACATAAAATTAATAGTTGCTTATTTTCATCTGATTTGAATTTATTTGATAAAACTATATAATTCTCATTTTTTACATTTCTAAGAAATTTTATTTTAGTCTTCACTCATATAAGCCATGTAGATTTGCATTTAAGTTTACCTTATGACAGAGAAAAAATAAATGCTTGTGCTTATTACTATAATAGATGTTTGGTCATATTTCCTTTTGATATAATCTTTTATAGTTTTCATACTTTCTTATTGTACTTTTTCAAATTTTTAAAATTTTTGCTATGTTGACTTATTTTGTTTTATTTATTCAGTAATTTTAATGTTATCAGTGTTTACTAGAGTTATTTTATAAATACTTATTAAAATTTTCAAAACTACTTTTTAACATTTATTTTTTAACAATTTAGAATGAAAAATGAAATATTTGCCACATTTTTATTTTCCACCCACTCTTGTATACATGGGTTTTTGTAAGTGTAATATATATCTTAATACCCAGCTTATCTCTAATTCATTTATATTTAACATACCCTCACAACAATAAAATTGGCATTACCTTTTAGACTGATAACATTAATTTCAAAGTAGTTTTAGATTTAATTTTATTTAACTATTTTAAATGCTTACCACTTATTCAGAGAAAGTGATACTTTTTCATTCTTGTGTTACTGTTTTGACTAAACTGTCAGTTGACTGAGTTATTTTCCAATATATTGTTCAGAAATACTCGTGGTTAGCAAGGTTCCTGAGCCCTTGAGTATTTTGCAAATGTTTTTCTCTTTTCTTCAAATATCAAAACCATTTAGGTTATCATAAAATTTGAGAAACACTAACCTCTTGTCTCTCAAAATTCTATAGATGCTGTTAGCTTAGGCATATTTTACTGCAAATATAAAACCAAAAATAGCTTGATTTTTGTTCTTCTGTAGGCAATTTGGATAAGCACAGATTTATTTTCATTAACCTTTTATGGAAAGTTTAAGAGTATTTTTCTTGGTGTCTCTTTTCATTAATTCTATCTAAAGTTTAATGAGCTCTCTTGCTCTTCATAGTTATACTTTTTTAAGCTACAGGAGAAATTAATTTGAATTACTTTATTCTTTGATTTTTGATTTTGTTCCAGTTTTTGCCCTTTCATAATCAGAAACATCTTTAATTCATAGTTGGCTTCTGTTTTCTGTCATCCTTATTCTTTCATAGGTGACAAGGTTTCTTTTTTTAGTGTCTTTCTAGTCCATATGGTACATACATTTCAGAGACCAAGTTTATTAAAATCTTTAGTACAGTAAGATATTTCACTTGTTCTCACAGAATATCCTTTATAGAACCCATTTGTGATTTTTCTTATCTTTTATTTTGTTCTTGATTTATGTGTAATTCAAAGAGGTGATATTTATGTAGACCTGTGCTATTAGTCACATTAGCTATTTATATGTATATTATTTGATTTAAATTAAACTAAAAATTAAGTTTCTCTGTCACACTAAAGACAAGTTTTCCATGCTGAGTGACATCTTTGAGTTACAACTCTCTGAGAATGATTTTGTCAGTTGGAGACTCTGGCAAGACTCCACCTGGAGGAATCTATTTGAGTTTTGGACCCATTGCCTCCCCCATACTACTAATAATTCCGCCTTTTTTGAAAACTATGCATAAGAAAACCAAAACAGATAATTCCATTAAAAAGCGGGCAAAGGACATGAACAGACATTGTTCAAAAGAAGACATACAAATGGCCAATATAAGCATACAAAAAAATTTTCAACATCACTAATCATTAAGAGAATTGCAAATTAAAACCACACGAGATATCATCTTACACCAGTGAAAATGGCTATTGTTAAAAAGTCAAAAAAGAACAGATGTTGGCGAGGATGCAGAGAAAAGGACAAAAGGGAACGTTTATACACTGTTGATGGGAATGTAAATTAGTAAAACCTCTGTGGAAAACAGTATGGAAATTTCTCAAATAACTAAAAATGGAATGTGCATTCCATCCAGCAATCCCACTACTGGGTATTGACCCAAAGGAAAACAAATCATTATATCAAAAAGAGACCTGCACTTATATGTTTATCATGGCACTATTCACAACAGCAAAGATATGGAATCAACCTAAGTGTCCATCAATGGATGATTGGATAAAGAAGGTGTAGTATGTATATATACAATAAAATAGTATTCAGCCATTAAAAAGTATTTTGCAACAATATAAATGTAACTAAAGGTGATTATCTTTTTTTATTTAATTTGAAAAAAGTGCTTTATTTATACATAGATGTGTTTCTTTTTTTTTTTATACTTTAAGTTCTAGGGTACATGTGCATGACATGCAGGTTTGTTACATATGTATATATGTGCCATGTTGGTGTGCTGCACCCATCAACTAGTCAGCATCCATCAACTCGTCATTTACATCAGTTATAATTCCCAATGCCATCCCTCCCCCCTCCCCCCTCCCCATAATAGGCCCTGGTGTGTGATGTTCCCCTTCCCGAGTCCAAGTGATCTCATTGTTCAGTTCCCACCTATGAGTGAGAACATGCAGTGTTTGGTTTTCTGTTCTTGCCAAAGATTGCTGAGAATGATGGTTTCCAGCTGCATCCATGTCCCTACAAAGGACACAAACTCATCCTTTTTATGGCTGCATAGTATTCCATGGTGTATATGTGCCACATTTTCTTAATCCAGTCTGTCACTGATGGACATTTGGGTTGATTCCAAGTCTTTGCTATTGTGAATAGTGCCGCAATAAACATACGTGTGCATGTGTCTTTATAGCAGCATGATTTATAATCCTTTGGGTATATACCCAGTAATGCGATGGCTAGGTCATATGGTATTTCTAGTTCTAGATCCTCGAGGAATTGGAAGGCCATTATCTTAAGTGAAATAACTCAGAAACAGTTAAGTCCATTACCACATGTCGTCACTTACATGAGGAAGCTAAATAATGTGTACACATGGACATAGAGTGTAAATAATAGACACTGGAGACTTGGATGGGTGGAAGTGTGGGAGGAGGTTCAGGGATAAGAAATTGCTTAGTGGGTCCAAGGTACATTATGTGGGTGATGACTAAAAGCCCAGATGTCACTGCTACGCAATATATCCATGTGACAGAACTGCACTTGTACCCACTAAATATATACAAAGATTTTAAAAAGAAAAGAGACCATTACAATTACTACTGCACTCTTGTCAACACTGAATGTCTCACCCATAAGGCCTTATTAATATTTACCCTGATATATCTATATTGAGGTTGGTCAATTCAGATTGCATTATTACCAAGGAAGAAAGGGCCCCCAAATCTTCCCTAGCTGGGTGAAAATGGTATATTCAGGAACACAGCTGGCCTATCCTCAGCAGCAACTTGACCTCACATGAAAAAATAGCAGTGATTCCTTTATAGGAAATTATGACCCCTAATCTACTGTCTGAAGTAAAGCCAGTGGATCAATGGGAGCAAAAGTTGATCCCAGTATCACTAAGTGAGAGAATATATTCCACGGGCACTGTCCCCGTCTATTTCTGGCAGACTCATGACACTAGACCTTTGATCTTTACTTGTAACTATCAAAAATTCAAAATTCTTTCCTGACATCCCTGGACGGGAATATTTTTCCCCTAACAAGAATCCCAGGATAGCCTGATTCATAGTCTAACAACCTAGCAAAAGGGAGTGTCGGTAATTCAAAATTAATTTTAGGCCAGACACCTGAATTGTCCTGTTGAATTGAGATGGTAGCAGATCATAAGTGTAATGACCACTTGGTTAAGTGCATTGCTCTCCAAGTCAAAGAGAGGGAAACATTGGGTCTCTGTGAGTTTTGTAAAAATACGTTGTCATTTGGAACTAACCCCACTATGTGAAAGCTCTGAGTGTGCACAGAAGATGCTTGCAAGTGTGGAGTTCCCCTTAAAGGAATTAGAAACACCAATGTTGGGGTATTGGAGGAAAAGCAACTACCCTTGCCCCTGAGAAAGCAATCCATTAGGCCTCTGAGGTGTAGATCAGGGAGACACATTAATGATTTTTTTGCTTCAGATCTGTCCTGGATCCTTTCATACCAAGAAAAAATGTCCTGATGATGACACAACAAAAACTGTTGCACACACTTTAAATTGTCTGCTGGGTCAACTATCCTAACTAGACATCTCCAACCACTGCTTTTTCTTCTAACCTTATCAAAAGGTCTATCACAAACAACAGAATGATTCCAGCTTTTGCAACTCCCAAAGAAAAGTCTCCTCTTTCTCTCTGTAAGTTCACCATCCACATTCTCAATCATTGCCTGGGGCAAATGAATAGCATCCAAATGATGGCAAAAACAAGCAAGATAGATGGAACTGCCTTCAGAGTCTTTTCAAAATCAGGAACTAGACTCTATCCACCAGTAGGGCTGGAGAACACATTAGAGGCAATATCAACTTGTGCACCCACATTGATTGTTGGAGGTCCCATGAGCAGGACCTCAGCAATCATCATTTTCTTTTCTCCCCTGGGACAACATGTGCATATTGCTGGGATTATAGTTCTTGTGTAGAAGCTAGGAATTAACTTGCTTCCCTTCCAAAAACATTGTTATTTTCATCTTACAGGTGGTGATAAGAGACCAAGTCTTTATGGAAACACCACCAGTAACTGAGAGCTCAGAAGACTGAGGCATTCGCTCTAAAATGAAGCTGCCCTGGATTTTCCAAGGTAGATTTCTTGAGGGATAACTGACACTTTACTTATTTGCTGTTTTTGGCAGTTATTACCACAATGTGAGTCATCAAATTAGAAAGAGTGGTAAAATATTTGTTTTGAATTTAGCTGAAGTAACCAATCAGACTATCTTGGACTATCTTGGAGCTGGAAGGAATTCAGCTTATCCTCAACTCATTGACTAGGGATGATAGGGATGCTGGAATTGTTATAGATTTCATCCTTATTGGCAAATGTGCAGCCTGGGCAATTGTTAATATATCCTATTGTACTTGGATTAATGACTCAGACCAAATGGAAATGTCTATTAAGAAACATAAGGAAGAAATTATCCAACTCTCCAAAGTAGACAGCAATAATTTCTTTTTTTATCCATTACTTCAAGCATTTATCCTTTGTGTTATAAACAATCCTATTATACTCTTCTAGTTGTTTTTAAATGCAAAATTAAATGATTTTTTACTACAGTCAGTCTGTTGTGTTAGCAAATACTAGGTCTTATCCATTCTTTCTGTTTGTTTTGTACTCATTAACCATCCCCACTTCCCCACCACTACCCTTCCCAGACTCTGTCCTTTTCTCAATGTTTGTTCTTGGCACCTTTGCTGAAAATGGGTTCACTGTTGCATTTCTGCTCAGGATAGCTTTGACTATTCTGGATCTTTTGAGGTTCCATATAAATTTTAGCATTGTTTGTTCCATTTATGTGAATAATGTATTAGATATTTTGATAGGTATTGCATTGAATCTGTAGATTGCTTTGGGTAATATGGACATTTGAAAGATATTGATTCTTCAAATCCATGAACATGGAATATCTATACTTTTTGGTGTCCTCTTCAATTTCTTGTATCAGTGTTTTATGGTTTTCATTATAGAGATCTTTTAATTCTTTGGTTAAGTTTATTCCTAGGAATTTTATTTTATCTGTTATCTACTGTAAATGGGAATGCTATCTTGATTTCTTTTTAAGATTTTTACTGTTGGCATATAGAAATGCTGATTATTTCTTATTGATTTTTCATTGTGCAACTTTACTGAATGTGTTTATCACATTCAGAATGGAGTTATTCTAGCAGTTTTTTGTGGAGTCTTTAGGTTTTTCAAAATATAAGATTATATAATCTGCAAACAAAGATAATTTGATGTCTTTCTTTCCAATATGAACACCATTTATTTCTTCCTTTTACTGATGGCTCTAGCTAGGACTTCCAGCTTTACGTCAAGTAACAGTGTTGAAAATATGCATCATTGTTGTGTTCTAGATCTTAGAGAAAAGGCTTTCAGTTTTTACCCCTTCAGTATGATACTAGCTGTGCGTCTATCTTATATGGCCTTTTAACTGTTAAGGTATGTTCCTTCTATACCATTTGTGATGGTTCTTACTATTAAATGATATTGAATTTTATAAAATGGTTTTTCAGCATCAATTGAAATAACAATATTGTTTTTGTCCTTCATTCTATTGGTATGATGTATCACATTGATTAATTTGCATATGTTGAAACATGCTTGCATCCCTTGGATAAATCCCACTTGGTTATGATGAATAAACTTTTTAATGTGTTGTTAAATTAGGTTTGCTCATGTTTTGTTGAGGACTTTTGCATCAATAAATATACATCAGTGATACTGGCCTGTAGTTTTCTTTTCTTGATGTGTCCTAACTTAGTTTTGTATCAGGTTAATACTGGCCTCACAGAATGAGTTTAGAAGTATTCCCTTTATTTGACTTTTGGTCATATCATTCTAATATCTGCCCACAAGGTCACAGTTCCTTCTCATCTCCTGGCTGTGTGAAACCTCTACCTCTGTTTTATAAAAATATTTGTTATGGCATTAATTGCCCTACAAAATAATCTGGAGTTATTTTCTCATCACAAAATTGTTAACTTAATCACATCTGCAGATACCCTTTTCTCAAAATACAGTAATATTTACAATTTCGAGGGAGTAAGATTTGATTTCTTTGGTGACCACTATTCAACCTACTTACAGAGGCATTTCGTAGCTTTGTTTAAAGATTAACTCAGATGATTTAGGTGAAACACTTAGCAAACTCTGAAATCATCTAAATATATATTGTATAATTTAAATTTTCTATCAGTTTCTGACATCCACTGTTCTCATGGCTAATGCTATCTTCATTGTATATAATTTCTCATATACAAGGTCCATGATAAATTAATAATTTTTACATTTGTATTAGGTTATTATGATAGTAATACATTTGCACCCACTCTTGTTAAGAACTTTTTGTCAGAAGTGATAAACATTTGTTAGATAACCATCTGTCTGGAGTTTGGTGCTCAAAGATATTTGGAAGATAAAATTTATCAAACTCAAGATCCTGTCTTCATAATATTATTTTCCTTGCATTAGCTAAGTAGCCGTTATAACTCAATCTAAACAATGTTCCTACTACATCCACTATTGAATGTGACTTATATTAAATTAGGTTTCCAGTATTTTGTCCTGGCATGGTTATCTCTGTCTCTAGTTTCTATTAAAGAGAGGAGGACATGACAGATAATTTCAAGTTCATTTTGCACTTAAATTGCTTCTCAGTTCAGGTTTTCATTACTAAGAAAAAAATGATGCTTTTAATGCATTCCTGGATGCTGCTTTCTCCAAGGTTTTGTGAAACTTAACATTTATTTTTCATATTTGGGAATAAGGGTTTAGTCCCTGAACTTTCTTCTCAGTTAAAAGAAAAAAAAAGTCTGTGTTGAGACCTTGCCATCTTTACTGGTACAGTCCTGTGAAAATACATGTAAAACATTTTGCCACTTTCTTCAGAGGAATACTGTGCAAGGAAGAAGGTAGTGACTTAAATATTTCACACGGTGTCTTGGAGATTAAAAGACAAAGAGAGTAATAGAAATAAAGGATATATATGTCAAACGGTTTACAATAAAATTCCAATTCTCCAACAATATTAAGATCTATTTATATATAAGAAATTTGTTAGGCTAAACAGGTGAGGATTGATATACTGTTTGGTGTAACTAACTGTTTTATTTGAATCCTTTCTCTTGGATTAAAAGAAAAGAAATAACCCTAGTGTAGTGATTTCCCAAACATGTTCAGTCAGAACTAATTTAGATTTTTTAAAAATAATAATGATTCTTACACTTCACCTCATGAAATTTTGATGGAAAAGATAGGACCTGGAGAGTGGTACAGTGTAGGCAGGAAGTTTGTGTTTCTGAAAACCTCAACAGGTCATCTCAATAAGCAGCCAAGCTTGGCAACGATGTGAATAAGGCAGTTCTAATCTTTCAGGTCTGTTGTTCTTTACTTCAGCTTTACAAGTACTTTAAGAAAATATTGATGTGGAAATGTGACTAATTTTTGGCTAGTATTATTTATGAGGGGATCTCTTTAACATGAAAATATTTTTTATTATATAGGTATGAAAACATATTCATATTGAATAGTAGATTAAGCCTAGCCAAGAAGCAAGGAAAACCTGCTCACAGTAGATCAGTTCTGAATATACATCTTCCATAGGTCACGGAATTATGAATATGCAAAAATCAATCTAAATGCTCTTACATTGACCAGTTCGAGCTTGTATTTTCTCTCAGCTATGTGATTTCTATGATTATGATGATTTTTCAGGAGTATATGTTGTGGCCTGTTATGATGGATTTAAACCCTAATAAGCCTCAAACTCAGAATAAGTCTGCTACCAATATGTGCATTAGGGCAATACATTGAAAGACTGGGGACAGGATGAGAATAACTGAGAAACATTTCTCTGAGAGTTTCAAGGCCCTCATTAAGTGTATACAGATGTTTTCCAAAGGCTGTTGGCAAAGTAGCAGGTGAATAGAAATCATCTGAAGGGCAGAAAACTAGGAAGTAAACTGACTGACCAAAAATGTGTCAGTCAGTCTCTAAAGCAGAGAGAACTCTTCCATGGTTTGCAGAGCTGGAAGATCAGCTATGTAAAGATATCCTGACTCTCACTTGAGAGTAGACTTTTTTCTTACATTGACTAGTTCAAGCTAGTGTTTTCTTTCAGCTGTGTGATTGCTATGATCATTATGATTTTCAGAAGTGTATGTTGTGGCCTGTTATGATGGATATAAACCCTAATAAATCTCACACTCAGAATAAGTCTGCTACCAATGTGTGAAGACCAGCTCTCACTTGAGAGTCAGGATATCTTGAGATAGGCCAATCTCAAGCCCCGCTAAAGGAAAAGTCTACCACACCCATAAAAGTTTGGAGGACAGTGTTTGAATAATGCAAGGAAAGCTACAATGAGGCCTAGCCTCAAATCTCAGATTAGATTCACTCAACTTCTTAAATTGACTGTGTAACAGAAGAATGGGTAGATATCAGTGGTAAATCATATTTTCTTTTCTCTCTACTGTTCTTGTACAGACACTATCTATACAAGCAAAATTTATAAGCATTATCACATATGTACAAATGCAACAGGATATGAGCATTAGGCAAGAGAAAATAAGCCCTGACATAGCCGAAAAGTTAAAATCATCAAGCAAGGCATTTAAAATAACTATAACTGATATGTTAATATGGAAAAGTATTTTTGAAACATTGGCATAGAGCAATTTCTGGAACATCAAATGTGTTTGAGAAGACAGAGTGATACAGAGGACAAACACACACATTCTAGTGCCAACAGACTGGGTCTGAATCTAGGCTCCAGTACCCACTGTCTACATCAAATTACTTACATATTTAGAGTTCCAAAGTTTCTTCACTGGTCAAATGGGGATAATAAGGAAAAGCATGGCATGCCAAGATAGAGTCTCTGGAGCAGGAACATCTGGATTTGGATCCCAGTTTCTCTGCACATTACTTGTGTGACCTGGGTCAGGATATTAAATCTATTCGTGCCTCATGAATAATCCTAGTACCCATTTTACAAGACTGTTGTGTTAATTTTTTTAACATATGCAAATCATTTAAATAAGTTTGTAGAAAAATAAATTTTCAGTAATAACGGCTATTATGAAAATAGCTTACCTGGCTGTTATAATGATTAAACTAAACTTTATGAAATGTTTGAACAATGCCCAACTTAGTTTGAACTCCATAGATGTCTTTGCTCCTTCCCTCTTTCTCTTAACAGGCATCTATTTTTCTTTCCTTTCTAAGATAAGCTTTGATCCACTTTAGAGTTTCTAAAGGTTAAGTATTTCAAGTAATTATTCTATTGGGTAATGCCTCATTTCCAAGGAATTTGGAGAAAGGAAGTGGATATAAAAGTCAGCTCAAGGTAAAACTGAGGGTGTGAAAATAAAATTAAGCAGGAACTATTAGAAGAATTTATAGCGATGTATCCCGTAAGTTGCTATAAATCGATAAATAATTTTCTGAGTTTCCTAGAAGCCAAAGCAAAGAGATGAACAAGTTTAGTTACAAGCCTTCACTATTTTTGATATTTTAAAAACTATACTGATAAAGTTACATGTTTCTAGTGCTGAGACTTAAAAAACGTCTTCCAAATGTTTTCCTAATAAAAAAGACAGTCCTGTCTTAAACACAATAGCATGCTGTTCAAGGCAAGGCAATCAGTAGCACAGTCATAAAATTCAGTAAAATAAATCCTACACAAGTCTTCTTGGTGGTTTATGAAAACTAAAACAACTGATTAAATAGCTAAACAAACATAGTATATCTAGTAAAATAGATGGACATCCTCACCGGTAATCACTTCAACCACTCAGTGTCTGAGGTTCTATTTTGTGCTAAAGCCTGGAATGCAGGTAAACTCTGCTGTCATCTGAGAACAAAAACATATTGTGAGTGAAGAAAACAGTGACATTCTCATATAAACCTAATATAAGCTGATACCTGATGAGATAATCATGCTACCTCTACACTAGCCCTCAAGCATTAATTGAGATATTTTTCAGAAATTGTTTGAGACTATTCTAACACAAGAGATAAAACGACCATAATATATTTACCTATAGACCAATCTCAATGATCTTGTCTAGAAAAATACTAAAGTAAATGTTACTAATTACTAAATCACCATTTAAAAATCTCGGTAAAGCACAGCACCAATATTTACTGTTTATTAGTTTGGATTCTGGTATCATACTTTCATGTAGATTAATTACAAATGATCTCAGTAAAAAGTAATTGGAAATAGACTGGTTAGATATTTTCATTGCATGCACAAAATAATCATTTTAGTATTAGAATAGTTCTCTTGAGCCATTTTTCTGACAATATTTTGTAGTGACAACAAAATCATGTCATCAGTAAGAAGAAAAACACCAAATATTCTTTCCTCAAAGCAAAAGAACAGGAACCCAAATCTTCCAGGAGCAGTTGTGAGTCATTAACATACAAGTTTAAGAGAAATGGGTTATGACATACCTTTGTTTTATACCACTGGAAATTGTTAACTTGTCTTCAGGTGACCATTTCTATAGACTTTGATCTTCTCAGCATATCAAGATGTGGGCTCAGTTTGAGCAAGGATAATCGGGGGAATATATCTTTTATAGTATTTCTATTTCAGTTGGACACAGTAAAATTAAAAAATGCTTAACAGCACACTTAATATTGTCATGGAAACTTATAATTTTGAAAGATCAGAAGGTTCATAAATTAGTAAGGGAGATTCTTATAAATTGATAGTAAAAACAGTAATAAGAGTAATATTAATATAATAAGAATACATTTTAATATTCAATATTTATTATAAGGTCTTTCAATATATCCCAGAAATAATGTTACCAAATTCAGACTCTTTTACTCTATAAAACACAAGCTGTTCATTTTAACATATAATTTAATTTAATTTCCATTCTGAGTAAATAAAATTCTTAACCAGGAAATATTACAATCATTAATCTTAGCATAATTAAAAAATGATTTCCTTTAAAAGCTACAGTGTGGGTAGATAACATATAATTTGAAATTAATTTTTAAAGGAGCATAACAGATAGATCAAATCACAGTGGGTTTAATATGGATGGAATATTGATAGTAAGATGTTAGATGTACACTCATTTGCAATCCCAAATGCATATCACAGGTTATCTGTAAGCAAAACTTAGCTTTAATTAGTCATTGAAAATGGTGAGGAAATAGGAAAATGGGGCTATTTCTTTATACCTTACTCTTTTGATCGTTTCCAAGAGGACAGCAACCAAAGATTCCCTTCTTTTATTTGCAGGCAGGCATCTGACACCTTTAACAACAAAGGAAAGAACACATATAGGAAGAACATAATAGTCTCATGTATGGATAAATGGTGAAAAGCAATCAATGGTAAATAGGAATTTCTGGCTATATCTCTGCAGAATATTATTAGACTGACCGTATTACTATTTCATAGTTACATTTAGTTACATTAGATTTGGCTGCCTACATTGTTTTTATTAATCAGGGTACCTAAATAAACTGCATATCAATTGTGTTGTTTGGTCATAGCTTGTGTATTAACCTAGCCCTATGCTGGTTAGAAAGATCTATTTGTGTTTTTAGGATTATTAGTTGTAGTAATATTGTTCTTATTAATAATGATTATTATTATACTATATATTGCTAAATTTCTTAACATAAGCCTGTTACAATATCACTTACTTTTCTTATTTGTTTTTAATTTAACTAGTATTCATCAAAATACTACTGTGATGAGAAACAAGGTATAAAAACACTGAAGCCTTCTAGAAGAAAACAATCTATTTCTGTAGACATGATCTAAACCTTGGAACAATTGTAAAATCTGTCCTGTGTCAATACTTAATGAATTGCTCAATGAATTCTACAGGTAGTAATAGCCAATAAACATTTGAAGTGGAGAGATCAATGAAGAATGGAGCAGTAAAAGAAAGCCTAATGAAGGAGGTGAGACTGAGTGTTGAGTTATGGTTGGCACTTGGAGAGGTCAAAGGGCAAGGGCAAAGTGTCTTAGGAAGGGCAAAATATTGGAGTCAAGACTGTGTGACAGTACAAACTGAAGAAACATGTGTAGCTGGAACAGACAGTGTCTATCAACGGGGCAGCAGAAAAGTTTGCATGGATGGAAGGAGCCAGACTGGGGGACTGAGGAGGTTCAACAATGAGATGGAAGTTGGGTTATCATTCTACTGACAAAGGGGTAATAATGATAAGAAAAATGGTGTTATTTTCAGTTAATCTTCAGTCATTCCACTCCTTAGTCCCTTAAAATTGTCTATCAGAACTTTCTAGAAGAGATTACAGTGCTGCTCAGATGTTACCCATCAGGGTAGATGAATGAGGCTTAGGGAGGCTCAGAAGGTCCACTCCTTCTCAGAGCCTAACTAACCTAGCCCGTAGAGTTGTTCAAATACTAGCATTTTCTTTTTTTAAATTTTATTATTATTTTTATTTTTTTTGAGATGGAGTTTTGCTGTTTTTGCCCAGGCTGGAGCGCAATGACGCGATCTCAGCTCACTGCAAGCTCCGCCTCCTGGGTTCAAGCGATTCTCCTGCCTCAGCCCCATGAGTAGCTGGGATTACAAGCATGCGTCATCACGCCCAGCTAATTTTGTATTTTTAGTAGAGACAGGGTTTCTCCATGTTGGCCAGGCTAGTCTTGAACTCTCTACCTCAGGTGCTTGTTTTCTTATTTCTAGTTTATAATTTAACTGTAATTTAATATCTCAAACTCTTATGAGATAGCACTGTACACACAAAATAGTACCTAACAACCATCATTAGATGTATATTCTTTTATGTGTATTTGATAATAATCTTACCAATAAGGTAGTATCAATCACTTTTATCTACACTCTATAAAAATGATGGTTTTAAACATATTTCCTTTGGCCCTCTCAGGGAATTTTTATTACACAGACTATATAACTTATCATAATTTAGCCAGAACATTAAAAGAGATGAAAATACATGGTTTGACACATTGCTTCTATATTTATTACCTAGCCTCATTTTATAGATAACATCTAAATATTTGTTTATCCTGTTCATTTTTCCAGCCTATTCACTTATTCTTTCAGTGAGATACAGGTTTTATATCCATAATAAGAAAAAAATACTTTAATTTGTAGATGAATGTTACATTGTATAATGACTCAATTACTTGCTGAGCATATGTTTTCTTTAAATGTTACTATATCATTTTAACAAATATACTGTGTTAATGTATGAAGAAATGCACAAATCATCAAAACACCCTACAATGACTTCATAATATGTCTGTGAAATGCTGTTTATCCATTTCGATGCTTTATTTATATGAAGCAGAATGACATTTGCCAACCAGCTGTAGTGATAACAGGTGTGCGTGCCCCCTGGCTATCCTACAGATACATTCCTGCTAAGTGGTGGTCTAATCACCCAAGCTCCGTGGAAGACTAAATTTAAATCAGATGTTAATTGCCTCCAGAGTTCAGCTGATCTTTGCATTCAATTATCTCCCCCAAAGTCAAATGGAAAAAAAATACTTTTCCTCAGGAAATTGTATATGAAATTCACAACTGCTTCAGAAAAATAAGTTTACAAACTATGTACTTTTATAAAGAGAAAATTCTTTCTCACTTTCAATTTTAATATTGATTCAATATCTTTTCTGATGTTAGCTTCACAAAATGATTTCTATAATATCTAAAAAATATCTCATTTATAACTATTTGCCATTGCAAGCTCGTTTAAGTAAAGGACTGAATCTTTTCAAGCCTGTATGTTTACCACTGTCTAGCAGAGTCTGTACCCCATAGAAGATCCTCCACACATCTATGCCAACCTACCTCAGAAACTTACTATACACATGCACTTGAGCAAGTTATTTCTTTTCTGTTTTCTTTCTTTCTTCAATGAACTTATGATCTAACTTTCCCAACTCCTCTTCCTCAGTCTTCCCCTTAAATATCCATATTCCACCATGGACAATTAATGGGACTACCCTGTTCTCTCCTTAATCCCTCTGTTCCTGAGCCAATTTATCTAATGTCACCTCTTTGTAGGTCACTTCTCACTCTACCTCTGCTGCCCTGACCTCTCCCAAGTTTCAAACTCAAATTTCCTACTCCACGTTGGCTACACTGGATTATCTTTATGGCAATCTCTAACTCCATCCACCATCACACTGCCCATCAGTGTGTCTGCTTTTGATTTTTTTAAATATACCTTATCTTTGGGCCAGGTGTAGTGACTTGCACTGGAAGCTGAAGTAGAAGGATTGCTTGAATCTGGAGGTTTGAGATCAGCCTGGGCAACATAGCAAGATCCAATCTCTACAAAAAAAAATTAAAAATTAGCTGGATATGGTGGCATACACCTATAGTCCCAGCTACTCAAGAGGCTAAGTTGGGAGGATCTCTTGAGAGCAGGAGTTGGAGGCTGCATTGAGCTATGATTGTACCACTGTACCCTCTAGTCTGGGCAACAGAATGAGACCTTGTCTCTAAAAAATTTTTTGAAATTAGAAAAAAAATCAACAAAAGTCCATATCTTATCTTTCTCTAGTATGTTAACGGACATATGAACTCAAAACTTTCAGAATAAGCTTGATTTTCTCATTAATTTTCCTATTCTTTCTTAGCCCTCAAATGATCCACCTTTATTTAAATGATTTCAGTTTTCTAATTCTTTTTCTGATAAAATTTTCAACATAATAATCTTTATATATCTGTTACTATGTGATGAATTATTATTCTATATTAAATTACACTTCCAAACATCACAGTGGGAATATGGTAACCAAGAACTGTTGACAAGTCTACGTATACTCTAATCATATGGCTTCTTATTTTTCTATATTTGCTCCCTTGTTTTATATAAACTAACAATGTCAAAAACTGTTCTTTAATTGTGCTGATTAATTTATACTTTTTATTAGAAACAAAGAGTGAAAATTGCTTTTTTGGCCAGTGCTATTAGTTATTTTTAAAAAGGACATTGCATAAAAAGCCATTAAATTTCTGGACACACACACACACAAAATCATACTGTTACAAATGTCTATTCTAACGCCAGACCAAATTAAAAGCCAGGAGTTGCATATGTCCGAAAAAGAAAAATCTATCAACCCACTTGTGAAGATGAAATCAATTGCTATAGGGTAGAAATGGTACTAAATACTTGATGCCATACAGCCGGTCCCAGTTTTCACATGCTACACAATTCTTTGTGAAAGAAAAGAAATTACGATTAGTTAAAACCCATTCAATTACCAGAAACCCATTTCATACTCTCGTTTTCTATCATGAAATACATGTCTATAAACCCATCTTTTTATTTTATTATCATTACTACTTTTTAAATTTAGACCCACACTGAGTAAAAGTGCTCAGATGTAATTGAAGACTAGAAATATCATGTTTTTTTCCTTTAAATTTCTGTAACATAAAACAGGCAAACCAATTTTAACTAGATTTAAAAAAATAAAAAGTTGCTGTCTGCCTAGTTTAATCCCAGCAAATTTTATATCAGAACAATAAATCGCTGAAAATGCAAGCTTCCAATGGAACCTTGTTAAATATTTAATCATAGGCTCTAGGCCCATAACCATAAGCTCTATTCCTTATTCTTATTTATTTCAACAGTAACTTTTATTCTTTTTATGGAAGAGATCAAATGATGAAGAATAATCACTCATGTGAGTATATGTGTGCTTACAAATACTGCCATGGCAGTATTGCTACATATAGATTTAGTTGTGTAAGGATAAAATTATAATTACTTCTGCCACAAAAAGGGAAGAAAATCTCTCCCGTCTATATTTGCTAATCTTGAGAGATCAGAATAAAGACACATATTTTGTGGATTGTTTTGGATTTATATTAAAAAAATAACAATAATATTTTAACTCCCAGAAGGTATTAATTAAATGCCCAAAATATATACAGCACTAATACAGAAATAGTGAACACATTAAAGTTAATTTGTATTCATCCTTTAGATATTTGCTTAAATGTTACTTCCTTAAGGAAGCCTCCCTTAACCCTCCAGAATAGGATTATTATTCTGATAGATATTTTGTGGAGATCTTTATTTTTGTTGTGTGGTGAATCTTAATGATGAAAAGCTGTCAAATTAGATTCTATTCTCCATAATAGCACAAACCATGCCTATTCTATTAATTTCTACATCCCAGTGGCTAATCTTGCCTTCGCATATCAAGCATTCAATAGAGGATCAAGAACTGCATTTACAAAGGGAAACTTAAAAATTTTGTGTGAATAGATGAAAAACTAGAATCATGACGAAATAAAAAGAGGCTTCTGAACCCCCAACATTTCTAGGAAAAAGAAGAGGTCGAGAACACTACTCAGCTACAAAACAGATCATTTCCTGTGATATAGGAAAGATGCCTTGGCATAATTAAAAGTCGGTGGGCAGAGTTAAAAGTAGCAGAGAAGGGAGTAGGAAAGGACCCTAATCAAGGAACCACTGAGAGGTGGTCCTATCACATTTTAGAATTACTAATAGCAAGTGACTGCTATGTGCCTCCCATTTCCCTTCTGTGAGAGATAATTTTATGTGTTAACTTGATTGGGCCAGATAGCTGGTTAAACATTATTTCTGGGTGTGTCTGTGAGAGATTTTCCAGAAGACATTAGCATTTAAATTGGTGGTAAAACAGATGGTCCTCTCCAATGCCAGTGGGCATCATCCACTGGGTTGAGGGGCTGAACAGAACAAAGAGGCAAAGAAAGGTTGAATTAATACTGCCCCACTGCTTGATCTTCTTCTGCCCTCGGCATTACAAGTTCTTAAGTCTTCAGAGAGGGACTAGATCTATACTCTCAGGTATCCATTGCTCAGCTTTCCTGGGCCTCCAGCTTGCAAGCTTCAGAGAGCAGGTCCTGAAACTTCTCAGCCTCTGTGATTATGTAAGCCAATATCTTATAATAAGAGACAGA